TATGGATGTGTTTTGAAAAAAAGATGAAGCAAAAACCCGTCTTAACCATGGCCAAATTACTTTCTCTACTGTAATAGTGTTGCCAGAATAATACCTGAAAGCTGTCGAGTTATATATTTTTAGCAGACTCTATGCGTTTTGAAGCAGCGCGATCTTCAAAAGTCGCTATTTTCGGCCCTGTGAATCGGTCCAAATTCTGCCCTCAGTTGGCAGATGTCATTTCGCCGTGTAGCAAAAAAGAAAAGAAAGAAATCTAACAACCTAGCCCGGTTTTATTACATGCATACCAAACTGACTTTTTGTCCACAGAGTATAATCATAAAGGCAACTTTTTTCCGCCCCGAAAATCATCAGACTGGACTAAGGGAAAGTGCTTAAATCTTCCTCTTTCTTCTTTGAACGGGGAGGGCGCCTCAATTTTTTACCGTATAGGGGAAAACTACAACCCCCAACTCCTTCAATGTATTTTTATCGGAAACCTGTACATGTTCAACGATCGGGTTGGCAGATTCTTTTAAATATCCAACCGAGGAACTTGATAATTGTAGATTCAGGGATGTAGGCATATGCCCAAACCTGATGGCATATGCAAAAAATTTATTTTCTTGAAGGAAACCAGGGAAACTAATTAAAGTCGCAAATGCGAGCAGTAAAATTAAAATATGACCGTAGTGGATCGATCTGTAGCGGACAAACAAAAAATCAGCATGGAAAAGCATCAGCTAAGAGAGCTTTGTTAAATTTTAATTATTACAATAAAGAGACATATTTCATGTAGAGGGAACAATACTAGCTTTCAAGGAGATATTGCTTAACCCTTTTAAGTGATCAAATCAATTTTCTCAGTGTAATATCTACGCTTCATACAACAGCTCGGTCACAAGAATTAAGGGATTGATCAATTATTTTGGCCCCACTTACTCAATAGGGAGTGTATGGAGACAACAAAATGACAATTTGAATGGACAGTGAACTAAGCAATGAAGCTGGCAATTAATTCAAGATCTTACAGCGATCTTAGGGCCCTTGATAAAAGATACTAAACTACTTCTGCAAAAGTGGGTTCTAAACGGAGAAGCAATGACGCTTGTTAATATACAATTACGTCAGAGGAGTAAATTTCACCGGCCACCAAGCCTCGTTTGCGTGGACATTCTTTTTAACTCTTTTTTTCTTGAAAATTTCTTTATGTAATGCTTGGTTTATTTAGAATTTAAATTAAAACGAGGCTTGGTGGTGAAATTTGCTTGTGTGACGTAAACATACAAAAAGGCTATTTCGAAACCTGCCGACTAGTTCTGGGTAATTCATAAAAGTAACGACAGATAAAGAATGAAATGCTGAAGATGTCGAGGACTTTAAAACTGTTGGTTACAAAAACTAAGTGTGAAGTTCGTATGTCGCAAAGTGGAGCCTCTTTTGGAAACGGCTTTTTTTTACTAAGTCGGCAAAACTGATTCCCGTCCACGTATCGCTTTCCAATCGTTTTCACCCAACCACACGTATCCCATAATGTTTTAAAACGTGACATGTTTTTACAGTGACTGGCGATGCATCTTTTTACAATTTCCTTGCGTACCAATCAATGATTGATCGATTTTGAACACTACCAAAAGAGCTCTTCTCTTTTGACACAACAGGTCATACTTAGTACCCGACGGGAGGGTACTCTCTATATTATGGACTGTACCGGAGGTTCTGCCCAAAAGTGGTGCCTTTTTTAGGTTTCAGGTATATGAAGGGGTGGAGATTTCACTAGTTGAAGTATATGAAAGGGTAGGGCGATCTGTCATTTATTTTGGTCTATATAATGACCTAAAAAGGCTACAGAAGGATTTATTTTATGGCTGTGAAAAAGTTGCGAAAATATTCTGGTTTTGTTATTTTTTTAGTACCTTATTAAAGTCAGTGCATTGCGAGCAGTTAAAGGGGATGCGTAGTTCTAAGATAGGTATGTGTAAGTGGTACCATTTGTCAAGAGAAGGTATACGAAAGGGGTACTTTTTCTTTCAAAAACGGTATATTATAAAAGGGGAAGGAGTTGGACCTCGGGGCGGAGCCTCCCTGTATAAAACGTATAGTACCCCCGAGCCAGTACCTCCAAGGTCTTGCCTGTGGACCTCCCTTGAGTCATTCAACAATTCGATTTCGAGTGAGGTGGCAACTTGAAGCAAGCGGTACTGATTCAGTAATGTTCTGAAAACGTAAGCTTGGACACGGTAACAAAAAACTACAATAACATAAGACATGCCACAAATCGTAAAACAAAATTAAATATTCTTATCCCGCGTGAGATCCGATGCTGTTACTTCATCGCTTTCGAAAATTTATATTTTCATCTGTTGGTTAGGAGTTCGGTGAGTGTTTTTATCGGATACACTTATATTAAACGGATGGCTAATCCACGAAAGTAATTGTTGGGTCGGGGGAGATGGTAGCCGTTAGGGCTTGAACCCGGACTTGAGAGTGTTGTAGTTGTTTGTTTTTTTTGTGTGTGTGTGTGTGTTTTTTTTACATTTGTCACAGGGAAAACACCCGCTGCAGGATGAGAGGGACAACACCAGTACTTTTTTCTTTCCATTTCTTATTTGTGCACGATGTATATGAAAAATAAGGTGGGTTTAACTGCTCACGTTCTTATTACTTCACAATACTTTTATTTACCCAAGTTTCGATCAGCTGCAATGACTAATATATACGCTTGTTAAGACGGGAACTAGAAAAGAACTTGTCACAAGTTTCAGTGATCCCTGAATGTACAATTCGCACTGCATGCTAACAAACCTTACACCAAAACAATGGACATTTTAAAAGTACAAGTGTAAGTAAAACTAGCTTGTTTCAGTCTTCAAAACAATGCAATTAGTTACACAGTGGAACCTCGATTTAACGAAGTGCCAAGGGACTGGGGAAATTTGTTCTTTAAATCTGGGTTTCGTTATATCGAACACCTCCATTTAACGAATTTTCGGGAAAACTACCAAAATGTTCGTTATATCGAAGTGTAGTTAATAATTAATTTACAACATCCAGCACTCCCGGAGCTGAAAAATTACTGTAATAACATTCCAGTGACGAGCTATACATGATCTGCAGCACTAGAGACTCAACAATGGGCAAACAGAACTGCTTAAAACTACTGCAAATGTAAATTTTATCCCTGTTGGTCTGGTTGACATTCGTCTTTTATCACATGCTAACATTTATTGGTTATATCGAGGTAAAATTTTACGTTTGCGCTTGTGGATTGTGTTCGTTATAACGAGGATTTCGTTAAATCGAGGTTCTGTTCCATACATTTTAATGTAATTTTGGCCGGGCTGAAGAAAATCGTTCGTTATACCGAGCACTTTGTTATATAGATCGATATAGAGGTTCGTTAAATCGAGGTTCCACTGTAGTAGTTACATAGAGGATCTGGATGGGATTTGACTGAGAGCTGAAAATTGGCCAACATTTTAACCGTCAGCTGAGACATTAATGAATCTATTTTTTTACCCAGTAATCTTTATATAGCCGAGTTCAGAGATACAAAAATTAACAGATGGCTGAAATATCGCTTCGCTGAAAGTCTGACTGATAATTAATGTCTGATCATCCCCATGCAAATTCTTTACTTATAACACAGTATATTGACGCCAATGAACAAGTTCTAAAAACTAAAGACTCAGTGTTTACTGTTGCGCATTACATGATTAATGAAAACATTTATCACAAAAGGCAAGAGAGCTGTTAAAGCAGAAAGTTTTCATTTGGCACTTTTTGCAAAAATTCCTCTGCTTAAAAAAAATGTAAAACAAAGGGGTCTGAAAAACAGCCCTGATCTATGTACATATATTTTGATTATATTCCTTTGTTAGCCTGAATTTCAGCCGTCTCCGCGGGTCGCAAACTCAACGAGTGAGCAAGCGGAGTAGGCGACTGAAACTCGGGATAATTCCTTTGTTAGCTGATTTTTCTTAGCGGAGCTCCACGCGCTCAAAGCGCGCGCAGCAGGGCACCGTGGGTACGAAAATTTGGTGATCTACCCATCCGACAAAATTTTGGTAGTGCCCATGCCATAACTCATGATTTAAGGGTATCACGTCACTGTACGCCCGCCCGCCCGACCATCCGTCCGCACCACAGGCATACCAATCTAAAATAACTAAATCAACAGGGATGACAACCCAAATGCAACTCGAGGTTATTTGTGTAGGTAATAGCATGATTTGTAGTGATATTTGGCATAAATACCACGCGTAATATTTCGAAATTGTTATACGTAATTTGTGCTCGGCAATCCGCTCACTTTAAACTCTGTTAAAACTTTATAGTGCTCACCATTTTATGCCAAATACCACGTACAAATCATGCTATTATTTGTTTATACTACTACCCACAAAAGGTTTGTAATTTTCACTTGCAGGTATTTCAAATTAAGCTGAAATACCACTGCCCTAAGCCAATCAAATTGCAGAAATTTCTCATGTACTAGTATAATGGCGGGAAATCGCATAGCCACCCACGTCTTGTGAAGCAGAGACAACTAAAGAGTCAATACAGACGCGAAGAGAAATTTGTTTTTAAATCTAAATTCAAAAATCTAAACATGGAATATAGAAAAAGAGAAAGACAGAGAGAAAGGAGAAAGTAGGCGACAGGCCAGCGAAGCTCAGAGAATAAGAGTGTACAAAAAAAGTGTGCTGCAGGTGCAAACTTCCAAAAACTGCAAATAAAAACTTCCTAGTTACACGTTTTATGGAGGAAATGTCGTACCTTTAAATTGGCTTTTGTTCACTTTTTTTCCACTGCCTCTATTGCATGAACCTTATTTTTCTTAAAATGAAAAAAAGAAAGAAAGAAAAAAAGAAAATGAGACTCTGTGAGTAACTAGTATTGTTTGAATTTTCTAATTTCTCCAGAAGGCAAAGAAATAAAGAGAAAGAGAAGACTGAAAGAGATTAAACCTTTAAAGTGGGATAAAAAATTAAAAAATCAAAAAAAAATTAACAAGATTATCAAGATAAAAACAAACAAAAAGAAACAAAAAAAGGGATACGTTCACCGTGTGCATCATCAATTTTCTCGTGAACGGATATAATAATGATATCACCTTGCCAAAAAGATATTTTCAGAGTTGTATTTGTTTCAAGCGCTTTAGCAAGTGACTCAGAACCGGCAGGACCAAGGTTATTGCTGGACAAATCCAAATTTGTCAGAGTTGTGTTTGTTTTTAGCGCTGTAGCAAGTGACTCAGCACCGGCAGGACCAATGTTATTGCCACGCAAATGCAAATTCGTCAGAGTTGTCTTTGTTCTTAGCGCTGTAGCAAGTGACTCACCACCGGCACGACCAATGTTGTTGCAAAACAGATCCAAATTCGTCAGCGTTGTGTTTGTTTTAAGCGCTGTAGCAAGTGATTCAGCACCGGCAGGGCCAAGGTCATTATCATACAAAACCAAATTGGTCAGAGTTGTGTAGGCAGGACCAATGTTGTTGCAAAACAGATCCAAATTCGTCAGCGTTGTGTTTGTTTTTAGCGCTGTAGCAACTGACTCAGCACCGGCAGGACCAATGTTATTGCCACGCAAATGCAAATTTGTCAGAGTTGTGTTTGCTTTTAGCGCTGTAGCAAGTGACTCCGCACCGGCAGAACCAATGTTATTGCAAAACAGATCCAAACTTGTCAGAGTTGTGTTTGTTTTAAGCGCTGTGGCAAGTGACTCAGCACCGGCAGGACCAATGTTGTTGAGAAACAGAGACAAATCTGTCAGAGTTGTGTTTGTTTTTAGTGCTGTAGCAAGTGACTCAGCACCGGCAGGACCAATGTTGTTGTAAGACAAAAACAAATTTGTCAGAGTTGTGTTTGCTTTAAGCACTGTAGCAAAAGACTCAGCACCGCCAGGACCAAGGTTATTGTGAGACAGATCCAAATTTGTCAGAGTCGTGTTTGTTTTAAGCACTGTAGCAAGTGACTCAGCACCGGCAGGACCAATGTTGTTGTAAAACAGAAACAAATTTGTCAGAGTTGTGTTTGTTTTAAGCCCTGTAGCAAGTGACTCAGCACCGGCAGGACCACTGTTATTGTGAGACAGATCCAAATTTGTCAGACTTGTGTTTGGTTCAAGCACGGCAGCAAGTACAGCAGCAGCCGCGTCATCTTTAACTCCATGATCCCGCACCTGAGCCTGTTGAACTTCCAGACACACGCCAAGTGTACGTGCCAGCTCTGTATGAAAATAACGGTTTTCAATTTTGCATTCCTTAATGCAGTCAAGTGCAAAAGGTAAACATTCTTCCACATCAGCTTTGTTTACCTCATTCGCTATGCAGTTGATAAGGGCTACTGCATTTTCTTCAGACCTCACTGCAAGCAGACCGCAGGTAAATTTCAATACCTCTCTTAGCTCTCCGAAATATCTTGTGTCAGTGACCAATTTTTCAGGACTGGTTTCTTTGCTAACAAGCTGGCAACAGAGATAATGTCCTGCGAAGAATTCTTGAAAACTCTTATGCGTAAAGCCGTAGTACATACACGGTCTTCGTTCGCAACTTCCAGGTTGAGCTGACAGAAACCCAAATTCAGGTAGGAGGGGGGTACAGGGGTTATTGCGTGATACGTGATTAAGTGTTTTTAAGTTTCGTGAAAGGTGAAAATACGAAATTAAAACCCGTGAACTGTGACTGGTTTGCTTCTCGTGATACGTGAACTTTAAAATCTTTTACCGGATATTCGTGATTTTCAACTAATTTTTTCGTGAGATAGTCTCAGCTGAAGACAAATTCTACAGGGAAGCCAGTGGGCCTTCAAATGAACTTTTCTAAAAAGTCTTAAAAAACTCAAAGGCCGGTTATTTAAACGAAGTTTAGTCAGTGGTTGACAAAACCGTGCTCTAAGCCATTTTCAATTTTTTCAACGCTTTTATCTTAACACCGGTTATGGTGAACGTTTCATGGCAGCAACAGGGTAGACTAGGGTCGTATACGTCCCCATATGGTACAATGTATACAATTTTCCCCTGACCCATTTAGCTTTCAGCTGATGTTAATAAATTGGCAAGCAACAACGTCAGCAAAGATAGATCTTTCCAGCGATACTTCGTTTTGGGATATTCTGACAAACGCTGACAGAGTCACACTCACAAAAAAGGTAAAATTTTGGGGAAAATTCTACTGCCAATTTCGCTGTTTATAAAAAAAAATGTCTTTTTTCTCGAAAAACTCGTTTTTAGCCATAGTTATGCTAATTAGCCGAAAACTAGTCCAAGGAAGAGGAATTGGTGGACAATGCTGTTTTTTCGCTACTCGCCGGCCGTCACCAAAGGGTTAAAATAACCCACCTAGAAAGAGATATGGATGCCCAATGATTTCTTAAACCACGGCCTAAGTTGGGCTTTGTTTTAAATAACCGGCCCTTACAGTCGTTCCTATTATATATGTCGTCCTAAACTATGACCAAGCCTGCAAGAGCAGACAACTTTTTTGGCTCTTGTTTCACCCGCCGAGAAAAGGACGTCTGCGATCCCGAGCTGGGAAATGACTTCCGTGAGCTGATGAGTCAGTTTTTTTTCAAGCAATCACAATTCAACTCTTATTTTCGTGGAGCTAACACATGTGAGGTTTGCTTGGGGATCTTAGTTGCAATGGCCGGCAGTTTTTAAATTAGAGGGACAAGTTTTTAAATTTGAAGGAGTAATATATTATATAGATCCTAAATCTGCATGTGGGATCCATGGGTTTTCTTGGAGGTAAAGAACGAATTCGAATACCCATAAACAGTAAACATTCATCCCTTAAAAAATAAGCGTCACATCATTGAGTAGACTGGTTTGAAATCTTAGTCCGAAAAGCGTGGTCTAATAAGGTCCTCGACTGAAATATAAAACTCTAGATCTGTCTTTTAGAAAAGTCTGCAGAATGAAGCAAAGTTTCTGCGGTAAACAACAACGACAACGAGGATGAAATGACTTTTCTACGAGCAGTTACTATACTCGTAGCAGAAGAACCGTCAAACTCAACTTTGAGGCAAGGGAGAGTCAAATGACGTTCCTTTTGTGTACTATATATCCGTCAGCATTAGTTAATATATAGATTTAGCCAGGGCTAAAAGCGAAGCTCCTATTAACTCGAATTTATAATTCAAATCAAACAATAAACTTGTATTCCACAAATCAGTTAACTTTAGAGCACATTCATGTGACTTTTGAGGGAAAGACTACGTGATTTTCGAGAAAAATAATTTGCAAACAGTCCAAGCTAAGAGTGAACTTCATCTTACATCGAGTTGATAGCCTTTATATGTACACCCAAAAAATAGCAATCATCTTCGATCACATTTAAGAGCCATAATGGCTCTTGATCACAGTAGATTAGGCCTGGAAAACACCTGCGCCGTTTTCATCATACAGACCTCGGACAGAATGCAGTGTTTCACAATTTTGCAATACAAATTGCACTCATTCAATATTCAGGACGATCAAAGCACGTGTGGGCTTTTAGCGAAATCGTCAAAAAAATTTCCAAAATCACCTATACGGCTAGCCAGTTCTCACTTTTGACAAGTCGACTGTTTAAATTAAGATTAATATAGTTATACGCTTCAACACAATAAAGAATTTATTATAAAGATCTGTAATCTTCAAAAGCGTTTGATACGCGCGGCATTTTGACTACTCTTGCAAGCGATGTTCATGAGCGACTGAAAACAAACGGCACAGCGATTAAAATTGCAAAAGAGACTACTTACAATCAATAAAGAAAGGGAAAATAATTCGGTGAAACATATACAGAGACAACAATTTTCATTCACGAAGACAAGTATTACACATGTAAAGTGTCTCTGAAAATCCTTGTTTACGTTTTAAGCCGGCTTCCCGGTGTTTGCTTTTTTCAAAGACGAACTCGAGGCAAGAAAATCGCTCAAAGCTTTCTTTTACAGCCAGAATTGTAACCAAATATTCTTTGGAACGTTTTCTTTCTATTTGCGGTGAGAAAATGTCTAAAGGCTTTTTAAAGTTCCATAAGCTGATAATCAAACCTGATACTCGGTCACTCTCGGTCAGATCATTGTCTCAAATCTTACAAACGTGCATAAACCAAATAGCCGCGTAAACTACGCTCGACTTCATTAAATTAGATATAAAAAACAAACAAATACAATAATTACTCAGGCTTACCTTTTGAGATGCACTGAAAACTATCAAGTAAGGCCAGAACCGCTTCAGACTTTTCAACCGTCTTACGCATCAAGCAAGGTGAAAAACGAAAACGATGCCATCCGAATCGGATTTCCGACTTTGCCAAAGCGACGTATTTCTCAACCAAAAACCCAATAAACAAACTAGCCATGAATAACAGAAGACTCTTGATAGCAGCTGAATTTCACTTTGTACATTTAGTGGAAAAAGACAGTTAAAAACATCACAAAGTTGACACAAAACTCTGTCAGCTTCAGCTGTCAAAGTAAACAAGTTTCAAGATGCTGCATAAATTTTCCGCGTGAACTCACCTGTCAAATTTTGACCAATCAGAGTATAAAAATTGGACGTAGAGCGTGACCAACGCGTGACCTTGGTGAGAAAAGTCAAAAGCAACTAGCATGTCCTCCCTGCCTATAAAAACTGGCTTAATTCTTAGCTTCCGAGGTCAGTTTGAAATCAAAATTTTAATTGTGCGGCACATATAAAACACAACATAATTCATATGAATTGAAAAATTAAACTTGAGCCTGCAATCATTTGAAAACTAGTAACTTGTCAGCGGATAACTTTAAAAAGATACTCGACCTCGATGGGTCGACACCTGAGCCCGCGATATGATCAGGTGATACTGGTCAGCGGATACCCTGTTTTGACAGCTGTCAATTGATCACAAGATTGATGTGCAATATGTCTGCAATATCAGTCTTCCTGTGCTCCCAAACTAGAAAGTGTGATTGAACATTGGTTGCCCTGTGGTGCGGACGGACGGGCGGGCTGAGGGCGGTGTACGGTCTCGTGATTACCAAATTTTCTGGGATGGGTAGATTTACTTACCCATGGTGCTCCGCAGGCGCGCTTCGCGCGCCAGAGCTCCGCTATCATCAGTTTACCTACACCTACATTTCATTGTATGTTTACCTGACTTCCGTCACTTCTCTGTGTTACTTGTGCGGGAGGCACAAAAAGCGAAAGACAGCGGCATCCTGAACAGGTCCAGCCATGCACTGACTGTCCTTTTACTTCGGAAATTTCCGTGGAACGTGAACACGGAATTTTAATCCCCTTGATGCGTTATTTCTACTATCTAATTTTAGTTATTCGTGAGTAGGAACCCCCCTTCACCCCCCTCAGGTAGGTCGGCATCTTTTTTTGAAAGCTTTTTGTCTTCAAAGTACATGTCGTCTTCATAGAGGCCGTTTAAAGCTATCAAGCCAAGGCGTTTCAACTGATCTTTGTAGACTTCAATCAAATCCTGATCATTTTTGACTGATAGACCTTTCTTTTTCCTGTATCTGATAAGAACACATTGTACTACTTCCACATACAACTGAGTTCTACTTTCAGGTAAAATACCTTGAAAGTCTTCACAGAGAAGGCAAAGCAGTGCAGTGTTTAATGGGTTCGCCGTCATTAAGGTCTTTAAGGCTTTCCTCATTCTGTATATTATCCAAGAGCTTGTCGGCCAAATCTTCCTTCCCGGCAAAATATTTGAGAATAAATTCTTCGCTATCTTGATAAGTGAAACCTTCAATCTCTAACAGAGTGTCACAAACCTTTCTGACTGGTATCCCAGCCTCGTGTCGCGCTGTAACCACAAGGTTACATAGAGGACGTATTTTACCTTGTATGATGTCGGTAAACTCAGGCAGTTTGCTCGAAGGTAGCTCGTCCAATCCGTCAAGTATCAGTAGAACCTTTGATTGATTTTGCCGAATAAACTCGAAGAATTTCTCTCTTTCGTTACGGTGAATTTCACCTGGCAAAAGCTGATCGTCAATGGCTCCCCAAAGGTCGGACTCGATCTCGACATCACGGCATTTCAGCAAGAGCACCATCTCGAATTCTGAAAAGCAATCTCCTTCGTTTTCTATGTTTATAGCCCAGTCGTATGCAACCTTATTGCAGTATGTCGTCTTTCCCATACCTGGGTTTCCTTCAATCAATACTTTTCTAGGTTGTTTGCTCTCTTCGTGGGGTTTGAAGATGTCAGTCGTTTCAATAACTCTTTGCTTCGCTGTTGCTCTCACTTTTTTCTCTCTGCTGACCATGCGAAGCCGTGTGTAAATATCGCTTAGTTGAAACTGAAAGTCTTCGCACCAAGGAAAGGGCGCGAGCCATCCCTCATGACGTTTGTACTTCTGACGAATGATTTCAATATGCTCGGCAACAAAACCAGCTGCTTTGAGAATAAGTGAGAACCAAGCGTTGTTGTAGATATTTGTCCAAAGCAGTTTAGTTTACTACTTTCCAAGTCCGTAAAATAAATGAATAGAGCTACTCGTGTAACCTACTTGGAGAAGGCGATTTGCTAAACAAAACTTAGCTTTTATAAATTATCTCCCCTAGCCAGTGTGCACCGCCTAGAAAGCAGGCGTAAAACATTCCAAACTAGTAGATGGGGAGGGGTGGGTGGGGGTAAGCTACTGATATGGCTGGCTCCAACGCCACGATCTTACTGGCAAAAAGCGGACTATAAACAGCTTAGGGCGTTAGTTTCTAGTTCTAGATACGTCATCCGTCATCCCGCTGAGAGAGTTACAATTTTAATTGAAGGCGAATGAATACAATACTTTGGGTCCTCCTTGGATACGAAACTGTTCTTTTGAGAGCGACACTTGTAAGACAAATGATCAGTGATCGTGTAACACAAATAACACAGCTAGCGTTCGAATCACTTTACTAAAACTAGCACAACAGTAACACGAGTCGTAGGTCTCCTAAACTGCGCATGTCCGACCCAACTCGGGCTCAGGCCCCACGCTACACTACCCCCTCCCCCATAAGGTCCCAGGTACAAGAGAGAATTTTTAACTTAAGCATGCAAATGTTCCTACAAAGTTCAAGGGCCAGGTTGGATAAACAACAACTGTTCTAACATAGTCTCGTAGCCAGACAGGCTCCCTTCGCTCACGTCTCGGCCTCGCAGCATAACACGGTTCACGACGCAGTTCATCACTCACTGGAGAAACCTCAGATTGACACGGCAGGTCAGCAGATTGAGGGGATGTACTTAATGTACCACTAGATTCACCACTAGATTCACGCTCCGGGGAGGGATGAGAAACCTCTGTGACTGTAGCAACTGGATTTTCCAGCCATTCCAATTCGACATCTCCAGAGTCAACTAAGCTTCCTCGAGACGGTTGCTGCCCGTCCCTCAGGTTCTCCGCTTGTGGCGTATCTTGCGTATGGCTGGGAGAGGTTAACTGTGAGGGCTTCTCGTGGATTTCTGGTGGCGAAAAGCATGGCTTCAGATAATTGAAGTGGACCACCTTCCTCTGACGACGTTTTCCCGGCTTCCGCCTCTCCTCTTCAATGCGATAGGTAACATCAGAAAGAGCTTTCACCACCTTCCAAGGACCACACCAGGGCTTGAGGAATTTCTTTCTTCTCGTCCTGGTTCGGTTTCTATACCAAACCCGGTCTCCTACACGGAACCGCTGACCATGGCACTTGGTGTCATAATAAGCTTTCTGGGACTTCTGCGCTCGCTTGAGGTTCTCTCTCACTATCTGTTCCGTCTCTTCCAATTGCTGCTTCTGCTCAACAACATAACCGGGGTATGTCTGTGTCGACCCTTGGGAAGGTGTTGTCTCGAACCTAAGGAGAGCATCCAATGGCAGAATAGCTTCCCTGCCGAACATTAAGCGGTAAGGGGTAAATCCAGTCGACTCATGCACGCTAGTGTTGTAAGCAAGAACTGCTTTCGGCACAAAGTCCGCCCAGTCCCGGCGATGGTCAGAAATCAGCTTACTAAGGATCTTCACCAGAGATTTGTTCAGTCTCTCTACCTGCCCATCCCCTTGGGGATGGTACGGCGTTGTCCTTGTTTTCGCTGCGTCAATTAAATCGCACAGTCCTTTGAAGACAGCTCCATCCACATTGGCTCCCTGATCAGAATGCAAACCCTCGAAACACCCGAAACGGCATATGTATTCATCCATCACCTTCTTCGCCAGCGTGACTGCTGAGGTGTTTCTCACTGGGAAGGCTTGAGCAAACTTAGTAAAATGATCGGAGACCACCAGCAACCACTCATGGCCAGAGGTAGATCTTGGTGTGGGGCCTACGATGTCTATTGCGACCCGTTGTAGGGGGTGCCCTGCCTTAATGTTTATAAGGGGTGCCTTTGGAAGCTTGCAAGGGTCGTTGACTTCAGCACATGGGATACACCTTCTAACGTGCATTTCGACATCTTCCCGCATGCCGTGCCAATAAAATCTCCTCCGCACTTTTTCTAGAGTCTTCGAGACGCCAAGGTGGCCTGCTGAAGGATCGTTATGCAAGGCGCACAACACTTGTGACACGACGCTCTCGGGCAAGCAGATTTGATGATAAATCTCTTGGCCTGTCACTTCGTGTTCCCAACGTCTAAACACCAGACCGTTCCTGAGAAACAGCCTTCCCCATTGTGACCAGTATGACAAAAGTTTGCGCCCCCCTCCTTCCACATCGCCTCTAGCAGGTCTGACACCAGTTTCAAGCCACCTCACAACTTGCGACAGGACAGGATCTTGGTTTTGGGCTGCACGTATACGTTCTCTCGACAAGGGTTCCATATTCACAGACTGAATCAGGGTGGCGTCCCTCTCTACCTTAACCGATGCACCCTCGTCCCAGGGAAGGCGGGACAGTCCATCTGCATTGCCGTGCAACTGACCCGGACGATGTTCCACCTCGAAATCAAAGTCACTAAGCCTTTCAAGCCACCTAGCCACCTGGCCTCTAGGGTTTTTAAAGTTCCGTAGCCACTGCAGAGCACTATGGTCAGTCCTGACCCGAAAACATCGCCCGTAAAGGAATGTCTCGAAGTGCTCCGTTCCCCACACGAGGGCCAACAGTTCCTTCCGGGTGGTACTATAGTTCCTTTCAGCCTTTGATAGAGCGCGTGCTGCGTATGCTATTACACGTTCTTTCCCACATTGAACCTGCGACAACACCGCCCCCAGCCCACTGTCACTGGCATCACTGTCCAGGATGAACGGTACGTCTAGCTGGGGAAAAGCCAGGATGGGAGCACTCGACAATCTGTGCTTGATGACCCGGAAAGCTTCCTTGCACTCAGCTGTCCATCTGAAACGGTCCCCCTTTTGACAAGCACGGTGCAAAGGGGATGCAATGTGGGCGTAGTTTGGCACAAATTGTCTGTAGTAACCAGCCGTCCCCAAGAACGCTCTCAGCTGACTCTCATCAACTGGCTCCGGCCACTCCTTTATGACTCTGATTTTCTCTGGATCAGTAGATATGCCCTCCCGTGACACGACGTGACCTAACACAACCACCTGTTCACACAAAAGCTTGCATTTCTTGGGGTTAATCTTCAAGCCTGCTTCTGTCAAGCGTGACAACACAAGTGACAGTCTCTCCCTATGCTCCTGTAGTGTTCGACCAAAGACAATGATATCATCTAGATACACTAGACAGTCTGACCAGCATAAACCCTTCAAGATAAGGTGCATAGCCCTCATAAAACACGCAGGTGCATTCGTAAGGCCAAAACTTAGTTTGCGGAATTGGTAAAGACCATCCGGAGTTGCGAACGCCGTCTTTTCCCGATCTTCCTCTGCCACATCAATTTGCCAATATCCCCTAAGGAGGTCGAGATGAGAAAACCACTGTGCCCCAGATAAACTCTCCAATATGTCATCACACCGAGGAAGCGGGTACAAGTCTCGCTTGGTTACCGAGTTAAGAGCGCGGTAGTCCACACAGAAACGTTGACTGCCATCAGGTTTCGCTACTAAAACCACCGGAGAGGACCAAGGGGAATCGGACGGTTCTATAATCTCTGCTTCGAGCATTTCATCCACTTGGTTGCGCATTTCTTGCCTTTTGTGAAAGGGAACTCTTCGCGGCGGTACCTGGATTGGCTTGGCAGAGCCTGTGTCGATGGTATGTTGTACGCCCTTCGCAGTACCTAAATCCCACGGCCCCTTTGAAAGGCAGTCAGCATAAGTGGACAACACCTCATAATGCCTAAGTTTTTCCTCTTCCGGGACCAAATCGCTGCTGATAGGGAACATCTCTTCTACCAATAAACTGTGAACGTCAGCGTCCCTCACAAAAACCGCACTACATTGTTTAGCTTCCAATCCAACCTCAACATCTTCCTTTGAGGCCGTAGGGGGTACCACCTTGTAGCCCACACCCACATTGGTTTCCTCCTGTGATCCCTCCTCGCCAGCTAATGGGTAGAGGTCCCCTATACTGCTACACCTGTAAATCTTGAGGGGCTTGTTAAGGTAATTGAACACACGAACTGGGATTCGACCTCCTTTCACAGTCACGGCCGTCCGAAAGGCCCCAGCTGAATATCTTTCTGAAAACTTGTCCGCTGGTTCCAGTACACCCATACATTCGTCTAAGTCATCTACCCCTTGGACCTCACAAGGTATGTCTGCGACCATATTTGGAGATAATGTGACGGTTTCGGCC